CGAGTGCAAAGTCTCGAAGGACTTTGGCTCGTCAAGCCGGCAAGGCTCCACAACATCAAAGTGAGCCCGCAAGTACTGGACTTTTACTACAATAGAAATGCTAAGAGATCGTAGGCTTCTGCTTGTGGGGACTGCTACTGTAAATGCTAGCTTTGTTAGAACCACTCATAGTCGGGTCGGATATGTGCCTCGTTGTTAGGCCCACCTTCAGTTTCGTGTGACCACAGCAGCGTTGGTCCAACTTAGGATGATGAATGATTCATCATTCAATCATCGGAATCTACCCAACCGCTTTGCAACTACATGTTGCTATTTTGTTGCGTGTAGCTGGCTGACCGAAGCTCAGAGTTTGATTCGATTCATGTGCCCAGCTACCTACCAGCCACATCTATCATTGCAACATCAAAACTGCTACTATTTCACTCCTGCTTGGCGCATGCGCTACATCTCATCATTGGAGAGTGGTGTCAACTTGAGCTCGATGTCTTTGTCTGGAGCCATGACAGTGTCAGCAACTATCTTTACTAGTGGGTGGTTTGGTGCTAGTTCAAATTCAAAAGTCTGTAGCATCTTGATCAAAAAAGAATAGGAAAAGATTTCAGTGTAGGACCTGCCAGGACAGGATCTAACCCCATGACCAAAGGAGAGAAATGACATTCCCTTGGTCAATGGGTCAACACTCTGCCGCTTTTGTTCCTTGTTGCTGGCAGTGCTGTCCTCATTGACAGGCGCAAGATATCGGCGATGAGAAAACACATGTGGTGGTGCATCATCAGGGCCAGCTGGAACGCCATCAGCAGGTGAGTCCTTCTGGAGCATGATGTGACTTAGAAAGATCATGATTCTAGCACCCTTGGGCAATGTTGTACCACCAAATGGGATGTCTTGTGTAGGCTGCAGTGTTATGATTGGAGTACAATGGTACCGATGGACTTCATGGAGAAAGGACTTGAGCAAAGGTGCTTTGGAGTAGAAGTCATCAATTTTAGCTGCCTCCAAATCAAAGTCTGTGATGTGTTCTCTCAATTCGGCCTGCATTTCCTTGTTGGTTGCAAGAATGAACAGAGCTGATAGCAATGTCAAGGAGGTAGTGTCAATACCTGTTTTGAGGAATTGTTTAAGGTAAGTGAATGTCACCATTATTTGAGACCTAGGATATGCTAGCAACTGACAATCACTCTTACCTGCAGCAAATGCGGTGACAATGTTTCCTACAATTCTCTCATGGTCCAATTTTGATTTTTCTTTTTCCATGGCATCATAAAGTTTAGAAAGAAATGTCTTTGATTGGGTCTTGGAGTTGGTAGCACGCTCCTCTTCAAACTCCATTATCATTTGATCAATGACTGTCATTCCCCTACGGAGATACTGCCCAAATCCATCTAGTTCTTGGCCAATGAAAGGAATACGCCAGTATTTGACCGGAGAGACAAATCGTAGAAATACTGCCTTCAAGAGCTGAAAGACCATGGCAGCCACATCTGACTTTTGATTGTTGAGACAATCCATATTATGGCCCATAAACAGTTTTGCAACACTGTCAGCAAGTGCATGGCTCATATCTCGTTTCACTGTAACAACACTGTCTGGCCTTTTCTTAGCGTCAACCCGCCATTTCTGCATCAGGGCAATAGCAGACTCTCTCAAGGCTGGCACATAGTCCTGCATGTGGATTTCATTAAGACTGGAGGACACCAGCTTTTTCTCCTGTATCCATTGGTCTCCTTCAGCACCAAAGACACCTTTGCCGCCCACGCTGTAGACTGCTTCTTGAACCTCTGGACTGCGAGTGACTTTGAAAGGCCTAAGCGCGAGGATTTCTCTGGCACGATCTTCCCGGCAGACCACCAGCAATCTTGTGCCCAACATGTAAAATTCAAAGCACCCTGCCTCAGTTCCATATTGGTTAGCCCACTTCTCGATAGTTTCCACCATTGCAAACCAAACTTTAGTTCCACCACTGGCAGCAACAATGAGGTGACAATGACCAATCAAGGGCAACCAGCCTGGAACTATCTTCCAAGGCTTGTTCCTTTTTGAAAAATGCTGGAGAATACAAGATGTGGCTACAAAGATGGCAAAAAGAGAAACAGCCACACCAAAGACCGGCTGACCACTGAATGCAGCACTGAACACCATGGCAAGACCCAGTTTCCAATGGAATTGTGTGGATCGAACTTGGTTCCAATGCTGTGGCAGCTCAAAATCCTTCACAAGATGGTTCGACCAAGACAGAGTGCAAGCATTAGTGTTGTTGATTGACTTCAGCAGAGGAGCAATAACTCAGGTGAAGCGGTGTCTCGTGTCTCGATCGATGGTATGTCACCGGTAGATCTATTCTTCCGTCTGGTTTCTTCGGGAGTTCATATTATTATGTTATGGTAGACTGGCAATATCTTTAGTAGCCCTCTATCCCTCTCCTTAGCATTCATTCGATTGATCCTTCTAGCTAGTCTAACATCTCGACGAAAACATAAAATGACCCGACTAGCTACATGTAACTCTTAACCAGTCGTTATGCAAAATAACAAAAAAATTGTACGCAGCCGCCAACACCAAAACACAAGACACAACAAACCAACGCACTGACTGTCACTCTGACTCATTCGCTGCTGAGGCACCGCACAGCTGCTTCAATCCCTTGCTTCCTCCCTGTACACATCTCTGTTGGGTCTTCCTGTGGTCTTCACCTTTTCCCCTACCGGTAGCCCATTTCCTACTAGTAATGGTGTTTCCTTTAAGAAACAATCAAGGCCATGGCGAGGCTCCGGCAACGGCCGACCAAAGGTTGCTGCCATTACACTGCAGCGAAGACCAATCCACTACTCAAAGTACAACATGTGACTGGAAGTACATTTACGACGAGGTGAAATGATACTTGACGACGGATGGCACCGGGGCATTGCCTTGTCTCTGCGTCTTCTTTTTCTTTGCGCCCGTAGTAGGCGTCATTTGGTTGGTTCACCATGGACGGTAGTTCACGACGAAAGGAGCAGTCTTGTGCCTTAATGACGCTTCCCGGCAATAGAAAGTTGCCAAGGAAGCCGAAATGGCCAAGTGTAGTCTAATCTAACTACTGTAAAACAGTGCACGACCACAGAATACAGAATCGAATCGAACTAACTGAATTGGAGCTTTTTGCTTCTTTGGCACCGTTGGTGCGAACGATCTTCGGCCAGAGCATTGCTTGCTTGCCGGGGTTTGTGAGAGCGCCTCCATTTCTCTGTCTGGATTGCTTGTAAATTGTATGTGATGGGCCAGGCAACTGAATTTCCCACTGTTGCGAACCGTGTGGGGCCTTGGACCGTGTTGTCTGGTGTGCGACAAGGACTTGGGCTAGGCAGCCCGTGGGATATGGCGTACAGTAGGCGCTTTTGGTGCGGGTCCCATGCAGAGTTACGCGAGTCGCTTAGGATTAGGAGTTGTACCAGATGTTGGTCTTGGTGTTGAGTGTTGAGCCAGCAGCTACTTTGTTGGGAAATGATTTGGAGCCTGCTTCGTGGGCTTGGTTGGGAACTCATATGCGTGGGAATCAAGTACGGTAGGTCCTGATGTTACAAGGAAGAAACCTGGCAGGCCTTCAAAGCTATGTAGCAGGGTTCTTCCAATGCCGGGCCAGGGTAATTGGCCCGTTAATGTGGTCCATGGCAAGAGCGGGACCCAACTACCTCGTTGCCGCCTTTCCATTTACTTGAGCCATGGGCTCTCTGCTTGGTCTGGCTTGCTATTAATAGTGGCGGTGGCTGCCCTATTGTTTCGTGGCCCTGCTTGTGTACCTCCTACTCTAGCTAGCCAGCCAGGTAATTCTGGTTCAAGACTGCCATCTTGCGCATCGTCCGGTCACGTCACGTGACTGCTGTAACTCCTAAAACTATCTAAGTCTTCAGTCGCGCAAGTTGTACGGGTACGGTTACTAGTAATAATTTTCGGTAATAGTGACCATCACTCTCCCATCTACTATTAATAGCTACCTGGTAGTAGTACCAGTACCAGGTATCGGTGCTGTACTATCGGTAGTTTTAGCCGAAGAACCTTTCGTTGTAAATGTACCGTTGGAGTGCTTCCAACCAATCTTTCATTATCCCCAACCAACAAAACTATGAAACACTCCCGTGTGCAAGATGATGGAAAGTAGTTTTAATAATTTTAGTTTAAAAAAAGTCTATGGAAGACAAAAAGCGATATAAAACAAATACTAGTAGTAAAATGATAGAAATAAAGGTTAAAAGTAGAAAATGGTTGAAGGTTACGAAGGTGTTTGTGACCTCCCGACTTGCACTCGGAAGCTCCTCGAAATGCCATGCACATGATGGCATTGTGTCTTGTTGAGAGGGAGTCTCACACCGGTACGCCTCACAGGGAGAGCAAAGGCAGGAGCGAACCCTTTTATCAATCAACACAGTACATCGCTTGACATCAGTGACATTCATGTAACCATGGCGAAATCATCAGAGCCAGCTAAGTATGTGGAGGAGGAGGAAGAGAAAACCGAGATTCAAGAAGAAGAGGACGAGTCTAAAGAGGAAATAGAAGAGATTGTAGTGAACCCGACTACTACCGGTACAACCGAAATGGAGGACCACAATGGCCGACCTACCGATTTCACAGCTCCATCGGTGGAGCCAGATCCGTTGATTCCTGCAAACAAGATACGAGGTGGCCGCTCTTCTGCTGCTGACGACGCGTCCGTGAAGGCTAATGCCAAGAGATCCACGAAAATCGGATTGTCTGGCAACAAAGGTCCGGTAAGGCCCGGTGCTGTTGCGGAAAAAGGTCCTTGTCCAACAAAGTCCCGTGCCGTGAGCCACAGTGAAACCCCAGTACTCCAATCCCATCCATCCATTGGACAACCAGCTCCCAGAGGCGTAGATTTGCAAGGTGGACTGATCCTGCCCACTACTACTACAACTAGTAACCAAGTAACGGCTGCTACTTCCTCTGCGACTGTACCAGGAGCCCAAGCAGCAGTGGGAAATCCTGCCGACAACAAAAAGAATAGAGTGGGAGCTGGTTTGAGAAATACCCCTAATCGTCGGAAAGACAACAAGGAACGTCCGGTCAAGCCCGGTGCTGTTGCAGAAAAGAGTTCTCATCCAAAAGCATCCCGTGGGGTGAGCCACAGTGAAACCCCAGTACTCCGATCCCATCCATCCATTGGAGAGCAAGCTCCCCGAGGCGAAGACTCACAAGGTCGGCTGATTGTGCCCCCTACAACTACAACTACTACAAGTAGTAACCAAGCGGCACCTGCTGCGGCTGTACCAGGAGCCCATCTGGCAACAGGAAATCCTACCGACAACAAAAGTTCAAGAAGAAATAGAGTGGGAGTTGGTTTGAAAAATATCTCTACTCGCAAGCAGGGACCCGACAACGATATCGAGGATGGTGTTCTTGGTGGACGGGCAGTGGCAACTCCAGGTGCTGTCGATTCTGTTCGAGATGGGACGACCTCATCGCACAGTGTCACCTCGAATCAAAGCCACCCGCAGAGTCGAAACAGCAAGGACAACAACGAGCCGCTCATTGAAGCCGTCTTGGTGGAAGAACACCGAGACGAACCGTCTTCATCAAACCAGCAGAATTTACAAGTCTATGATGCCGTGCAGGTGGACCCCAGTTTGGAGCATCCAGAGGATAAACCCATTTACCAGCACAGACATTTCAAATATTGGGTTGGAGCACTCTTGGCACTGGTGATTCTGGTTGTCATTATTGTCGTGGCCGCAACTGCTGGTGGCTCTGGTAGTGGGGAACAAGTCAATGCTCCCTCCATGGCACCAACAGGAACCAATCCTCACTTCGATGACATTCAAGAACTCGTGGGATTCTTTGTCCACGATCGTACGCAACGGGACAATGCAACCAGCCCCTACTATCACGCTCTGCGATGGCTGGTCTACACGGACAATGCGAATCCCACGGAACCAGATTTTGATCACGACCAACTGCAACAACGATACGTATTGGCGCTCTTTTACTTCAGCACGCGATCTACCGGAATCGATGGACAGAGTTGGCTGGCATGCAATGCTCCCGCACCAACTAATAATAATACCGAAACTTGTGTGCACCAGAGATTCAACAGCGACAGGACCCCCAGGAATGAAGCACCCGAATACGACGACGTGTTGGCATCCCGATGGTTGAGTTCTACCGATGAATGCACGTGGGCGGGACTCCATTGCGACAACTCCGGGAGTATCGATGAGATTATTTTGGGTAAGGTGGAAGAACGAACCACTAGACGACGCAATGCATTATGTTTGGACCAACAATTTTCTGCTTCGTCCCTTTTTTATGCAGCACATTATCATCTCGATGGAACTCTCCCAGAAGAACTCGGATTGCTCTCTCGCCTTGTCGAGCTGGACATTCGAAGCTTTTTGGACTTTGGTTATAGTGTTTCTGGCACTCTGCCCACATTTTTCGGATTGCTCCCTCGTTTGGAAGTTTTGACGTTGGATGAAAACAGGTTCATGGGTACGCTTCCAGATGAGCTTTGTGATGCCACGTCGCTGAAGAGATTTAGGATTACAGCTATGGGAAGCAACCTGGTGGGAACCCTTCCTACTTGTTTGGGCATGTTGACTTCCCTCGAACGGGTGGGTGTTTTTGGTTCCATCCGCATGTGTTTTAATTCTCTGTTGCTTGATACAACTTCTAACATCCGTCTCTATGGTTCGTCCTACTAAAGCTCCATTTGGATGACAACCGACTTTCTGGAACAATCCCAACCGAGCTCAATTTGATCTCCACATTGGAGGAGGTATGTGTTGATGGACATGCGTCAATGCTCATTGAACTCCTTCGTGCTTGCTGTATGAACGCTCAAATGAAAGTTGCCCGGTCTCCTTTCTCCATGTTGGCGATAGGTGCAACTCCACAAGACAGCACTCACAGGAACAGTTCCTGCCGGAGGAATATTGTGCAATCTACCGGACGGCGGGATCCAGGTAGATTGCAGCGGCAAGAGAGATGAGACGCCTGAAGTGATCTGTCCAGAGGGATGCATTTGCAACTGCAACTAAAGGCGATGGTATCGTGTGGGATGCGCGAAAACTTGTCTAAGCGCGCTAGCACAAAGAGCCAACCGGAGTGACCAGGATCAAGGACTACCTGGGGCTATCGAGATGCAACAATACACGCAGTGCGTGCTGCGAGCGTTTCCTACGTGAACAGTCAAGTGCGTCAACTAGAATGAAGCGAAACTGAACAATGTCAATGTATCCGAATCTGACGGTGGGGCTGGTCTTGACAAAGTTTGATATGAGCCAAGTAGCCAAGTCACTGGGTTGGAAGGGATGCGCATTCCTCTTACAGCAGCAACCACTTCGCTGAGTTTTGTTTGCACAGGAATTGTTATTAGTAGTGGGGAGCAAGATCGATACGGTCATGGCTGTCTTCAAAGTTGGTGCAAACTCATAGTTTGTCAACTGGTCGAGATGCATGAGACAACGGCAGACCCCTGCAAGTAAAACATATTGGTTCTATTGTTTAGTCAAGGGCTTCTGCTACCAGCGGGAAGACCCGTTTCGAGGGAGCTACCCGTACCCGTAGCGAGATGTCGAAAAAATCTGGTACCGGTAATTCTCATCATAAGTATCCAAATGGTATTAAATCTATGATTTTAAGTATCTTTTCAATTCATAAATCTTTGACCTGGTCAAATCTGGGGAGGACGCCTCAGTTTCAGAACGAGAACGCTAGCTAGAATGAGAGTAAAAGTAGATAGACTAGAGTCACGCAAGTACCCCATCACCATATTACTAGTAGTATCGAACCTTCTGGAAACTCCTTCTTGACTGCCCCGAACAAGCAACCACAGCATCACATCATCATCGTCTGCCACAGCCATATCCCTAATAACGAATTCGAGGGTTTCTAGCTAGCTAGCTAGCTAGCTAGCGACAAGCTTGACCACAACAAGAAGATAAGTAGACTAGCTAGATGCCGAGCCAGGATTTTTGGTTTGGGTCCACGTGCCAGACTTTGTCGGTCTCGGCTGCAGGATTCAGATTTCTTGTAAATGAGGTTTTAAAAGATACGCTGCACGAATGAGAATCTTGTGGTACTTAGACAGAGAATCGGATGGTGCAGAGGAGATGACCCATAATTCAGGTGTTACGAGGGTTGAGCTGATGCCGCAAGCTCGGGTTGGTCAAGTGACTCTAGCTAGCTAGACGCTCCTTTCCACTACTTGTAGGATCGGTGCTAGAGTGGCTGTTTGGGCTTTATCCTTGGCTCTGCATGTTGCGCTAGTCGTAGCCCGTACAAGTGTGAGGGCGGCGAACTAGTTAGCCTTCTGAGAGGCAGGCTGGGTCTCTGTGCCTGTACCAGCAGCAGAGAGCAAACAGCGGTAGTCAATGCGACCAAGGGTCCGTTTTGTTGACCGTCAAAGACGCACCTCCACGATTGCAGGACACGCTGCTGCCTTTACCATGCATGGCCCACTCCTAGGGCTTATGCCAGCTCGAGAATCCAAATTTGGGTGTCTAAGCCTCCCGCGAACGGTCGTCCAAGACCTTAGATCCCACGTGTTGCGAAAAAAGTGAGTTGGGTAGTTAGAGGAGCTGAGTCGTGATGTTGCCTGACAAGCATCGAACGTTCCAATGGGCAAGGTGTAGGACAGCAGGACTAAAATTGGTTTGGTCACATAGAGACAGCCGCTTCATCAGCAGATGAATGCGCTATTAGTTGCTTCCTTGGCATCATTCTTCGTCTACATCAGTTTCAGCATACCTGGTACATGTAGCTTTTCTTCGGCAACCTGCTTGCCGAGAATGGAGAATGTTCTTCTGAACATCACCACTTCCGCGAGTAAAGCAAAAATGAAATTCATACATGCATCTGTCGTGGGGGTGTCTCAAGCCAACCCTCCAAATATTCCCCCACCTTGGTAACTTTTTGGAGATCTTATGGGGTGAATACATTCCGAAAATAGCAAATATGTGAGCTGTGAGTGGTCTTATAAAGTAAAAAAATCTCTCAAGTCCATTTCAAAATTAAGTGATCACATTGAATATTAGTTTGGAAGTTTGGGTAATTAACATGTATTGGAGAAGGTTTTAGACACCCCAGACTGAGAGGAAACTTTCTGAAAAGCTTCTGTACCACTGCTACTCGCGCCCCGACCGGTACCAGTGGCTTTAAGCCACCAGATGGGCCGCGAGTAGACTGTATGGTACTGTAGCAGGTACCGGTACCGTACCAAATAAATGCCTCGATTCGATTCTGTTCTTAGGAAACTGGGTTCGGCAATGGTGGAGTTTTGTATCCCGCGTGCAGTAAAAGATGACGTAAGTCTGATGCCCTTCCACATGCGCGTGCGGCGACCCGACCCAAGGCACTCAACATTGAACACGTGCTGCAGCATTTTTTTCTTCTTTCGCAACCCGCAACAGTTAATTTACCACCTACCGATAGCTAGCTAGGCTAGTAGGAGGCGGTTCTGAACTGAATTCAAGAATGTCAGAAGCGTCACAATTTACTGAAGTTGATCTATTAAACAGTGTCTAGAATATTCTTGGTTTGAAGGACAAGGAAAGAAAGTCACCATGAAGCTCCTCTCTCTTTTTATGACGGCCATGGCTTTGGTTACACTGGCATCAGGGCAGTACCATCCCCGCGGCGCAGACCGATATGGAGACCGATATGTGCGTTCTGGGGGACGTCAGCTTCAGTCGAAGTCATCTTCGTCCATGAGCAAGAGTAGCTCCATGTCCACTTCAAAGGTATGTTTCTTTTTGCACAGTTAGTTTTGAAGATGGATTTTCAGCATGTGGTCCACCTCTCATTGGCTGGAATCTCATTGAACTCTTTTCTGACGACCTAAAGTCCATGAGCAGCAGCGTAAGTCCCTTTCACTATGAGAAGAAATCTTGGTTGATCTCCATCTTGTTTCAATGTTTCTAATTGTATGATTCGCCTGCCTTGCCAAATCTACAGAAGAGTATGAGCATGAGCTCATCCAAGTCCATGAGTTCCTCGAAGAGCATGAGCTCTTCCAAGTCCACGTCTGCGTCCAAGTCGTCTAGTATGTCAACCTCAAAGAGTATGAGTTCTTCCAAGTCCATGAGTTCCTCGAAGAGTATGAGCACCTCCAAGAGTATGTCGTCTTCGAAATCCATGTCCAGCATGAGCAGCAAGTCCAATCGTCGCCGGTTCGTTAATCCCGAACCAGTCGCCATCCAATACAAGCCTGTGAAAGAAAAGGTTGTCATTGATGATGGACCGCAGCGCCAGATGCCATACGACACCCGACGCTACCGTTACCGTCGCACTCTTCGAGCCTAAGCAATGCATACATGGGCTTTTGAAAAAGGATTTGAAACCTTTTTTGCATGGCTGTAATACCGCTCCCGTTCTGTAGCTGGCTCCTCTTGTGATTCTGTGCTTGGGTTGTGGCTGGGGTTGGCTTGGCAGCCATAGTCTGATCACACGCAAGCAAGAGACAGGAGTTGCAAGCTTTTCTTCGATGTACTACCAATCCGTGTGGAGTTCATTTGGTTAATTAGTTAGCAGTAAACATAAGGATTGAATTGATTGATCTGGTGCCTTGTCATGATGTGGTCAATCTCGTCTCAGCTAGCCTTGTTTGAGAAGTCCTTTGATCTCTCATTAGGAGTTTGATTTTGCCCACAACAAATAACTGAAGGACAAGAAGCCAAGCTGACGAAAGGACATTGCAGGAGTTTCTCAATTGTCTCTTTGGATTTGATCGAATCATTGACTCTGTTGAGCCATCCAGTATCTATCTGAAGCTTGAAAGCACCCGACGTCTCATCCATCCAGCCATCCAGAAGGACGCTGCCTCAAAGATACCGAAACCGGTACTAGTACCGGCGGGTACTTTCAGCGTCCCCAAAACTGTCTTCCTGATTAAGGCGGGAGTTTAGCCTTAATTAAAATATGATCCAAACAATGTGCAGGTTATTGAAAATCAATCCACCTCACTATAAAATAATATTATTTTAATGAACGCCTTGACCAATCACAATTATAAAAAACGAACCTGGTTACTTAGGGGACCGAGGGCGCAAGCCCGATGGTGAAGGCCGGGACCCAAGGTCGGAGGTCTGCCTAAGTAACTGACCGAGGGCTTAAGAGAGGGCGCAAGCCCGACAGCCCGATGGTCAGTTACTTAGTCAGGCCGGAGACCGATGGGGCACAGCCGCCCCTAAGTAGCCGGTTCGTTTTGTTAGGAACGATAACGGCTGGTTTGTATTTGTAACCGCCGGTCTGTGTAGACCTCTGTAGAGGAGTACCACAGAACCAGGTCACAAATACAAAACCTGCCGGTTCGTTCCAACCAGAAACAATTGTCAAGTCTCCATTGGATGCTGTACGTCATCGATTTATCGATGTGTTCCTTGAACCTCAACAACAACGAAGAACAAGAATCTGAGCCCAGAGCACGGAGGTGGCGGAAATGGGTAGTGGGAACATAACAACGGCAATCCAAGTAAGTCCTTTAACGGGACAACCATAAAGAAGTAGCAGCTGCTCTTATGGATATCTAGCTAGCTAGCTGCATCACTCAGCTTGAGAGTGTATCAATAGCATTGGACAACAACAAACACTGTTTGTAAAGTGATCTGGAAAGAGGACAGGAGGTTGCTCGCCTGAACAGCCGTATGGGAAGGACTGGATCCCTCCAGCTATCAAGGTTGACGGTACCATCGTTTGCTGACCTCATAGGGTGCTGCCATTGAGCGACTCAGTTACTAAGCAACAAGTTCTTGTACCGATAGAGATACCCTCTCTGCGCTTAAGTTAAGGGATTCGATTCACATCTTTCAGGGCTACCCAAGATGGAGTCAGCTACTAGACAAGCAACGTGCAATGGCTTAGATACCCTCGACAACGAGATGAAGCAAGCCTCAGTGGGCTTTGAAAGTTTACTATCGCAAGGAGGTGCTGCCACTGCCATCATGATGGGGATAACAACTGAAGAAACGCAAGGCCGGCAGTGGATCCGTTGCAGTACGAGTTCTGATGCCGTGTCTTCTGGATCAGAAGAACCACACCAATACTCTATTCTAAGGAGATCTGGAAGGATAAAGAATGCATCAGGACTTGTGCTGCTACCCCTGCTGATCACAGTCCTATTCCAACCAGTCTCGTCAGCCTTTGTAGGACCAGCAGTAACATCACACAGTAGGCACCATCCAAGATGGATATCCAGCTCCACAACAAGAATCCATCAATCGGCCTACCGACATCCCTTTGATGACGAGGATGGTCACTATACCCAACCCTTCTTTGCCGCCAAGCAACAATCCAATCAGACGACAACAACCGATCTTTTGTCACCCGAAGTACGGGCGTGGACGGATCTCATGTCCTCCACATCCACCGAACAGGACCAGCATGAAGGACTCTGGGAAGCCTACAGTCGTCGCATGGCCAACCGTGGAGAAAACCAACATGAGCAACAACAATCATCACCACCAACGAGCCACCACAATAATGGCACCGACACATCCTCATCCATGCAGGCTACTTCTACTGCTACTGTCACCGCCACTGCCGAGGAGGAAACCAGCCCGTTGACACAGGATGACGAAGCTCAGATTGCCGCCTTTTGGGACGAACTGGAACCCACCATACAATACCTTCCATCTCAACGACACGAGGAAGTCTATCAGGCACTACGAGTCGCCTACGAATGTCATCACGGTCAAATGCGCAAAAGTGGAGAACCCTTTATAGTCCATCCCGTCCAAGTGGCGCTCCTGTTGACATCCCTCAAGATGGATACCGAAACCATCATGGCAGGATTGTTGCACGATACTGTGGAAGATACCGAAATGACGTTTGAACGGGTCGAACAACTCTTTGGGCCCGTCGTCAAGAGTATCGTCGAAGGAGAAACCAAGGTGAGCAAATTGCCCAAACTGGCATTTAGTACTACTACAAGTACAGCAGCTCCCGACGACGGACAACCGGTCGATGTCGCCGCCGAGCAGGACGCCAATAACTACGACGAACAGGCCGAAAACTTGCGGCAAATGTTTGTCGCCATGACGGAAGATTATCGCATCATTATTGTCAAACTCGCCGATCGATTGCACAATATGCGCACACTGCAACACATGAAACCCGCCAAGCAAATCAAGATTAGTCGCGAGACGCTCGACATTTTTGCACCACTAGCACATCGAATGGGCATTTGGCAGTTCAAATCGGAACTGGAAGATATTTCCTTTCGATATCTGTACCCGCAGGAACACAAACGCTTGAATCGAAAGTTACAGTCGCACGAGCAACGATTGAGTCATGTCTTGGAACGGTCGCAGCATTTGTTGAAAGAACAGCTGCAAACCGATCCGACGCTCCGGGAACAGACCGCCTCGGTGGAAGTGGTGGGACGGACCAAAGAAATCTACAGTTTGTGGCACAAGATGGAAACCAAGGAAGAACGCAACTTGGATCATATTGGGGACGTTGTGGCGTTGCGAGTCATTATCACTCCCAAAGAAGCCCAGCAAGAGGAAATGTTTTATTCGGACGACGAAGAGGAGGAGGACGAGGAAGAAGATGACGACGACGAAGAGGAGTATTATTATGAGGAGGACGAAGATCTGTACTACGACGAGGATGAAGTAGAAGAGGAGGATCACGATTTCAAGTCGTCTCAGTCGTTCACCAAGGAACAAAACGTTCGACCAGCACAGAGTACCACCAATCAAGCTGATCGTGGCGTTTGGCTTTGTTATCATGTTCTGGGCTTAGTTCAGCACCTTCCAGGATTTCAGCCGGTGCCAACGCGTGTCAAGGATTACATCAGCTTTCCCAAGCCAAATGGATATCAATCGCTCCACACAGCCGTCATGCTTCAAGGTCAAACGATCGAAGTACAGATCCGCACATCGACCATGCATCAAGTGGCCGAATACGGGATGGCTTCACATTGGGCATACACCGATAGCAAACGCATGCCTCACGCAGATGTCTACAATACACCATGGCTTTCTTCCATCAAGGAATGGCAAAAGGACCGCATCAGCTCAAGGGACTTTGTTGAAAGCGTACGCCGCGAGTTGCTGGGCAAGCGAGTCTTTGTCTTTCTGCGAAATGGAAAAATCTTGAATTTGGCCCGCGGTGCCACAGCCATCGACGCAGCCTTTCAGATCCATACTGAGGTTGGATTGGAAATGCATGGAGTGGAAATCAATGGCAAGCCGGTACGTTGTTCTTGTTCCATTGATTATAGTTAGTTTTCACAACTCGCGTTCCTCGCTCACAGCGCTTATCCGTGTCAATCGTCGTTACAGGTTCCCTTCTCGTATGAGCTGCGCAACGGCGATGTTGTTTCAATCTTAACCGGCAAAGGACGCCCATCGCTAGATTGGATGCGATATGCAAAGAGTCGTTCCACGCGGTCCAAGTTGCGGTCTTACTTTCGACAGAAACAAAAGGAAAGCCTACGAGAAGCAGGCAAGATTCTTCTCATGGACTATCTTTGGATGCATGGTCCTACTATCGAGCAGCACCGGCCCTTGGTCAGAGTGCCAACAACTGTTGAGGATGTAGCAGAAGTCTTGGAGGAGCGACTTCATGAGCAAGAAGACGCTCAGAACATTCCACAATTCGACAACATTGATGACTTGCTAGTGGCACTTGGTAAGCAACACGATCGCGACATGTTGCACAAGATCGTCGCGCGATTATTTGGTGTCCCCGCAATCGCTTTAGCACAGGCTGAGAAATGTAAGAACCGCGGATTGCTGGTTCCTGGCAGCGTAGTGGACGCCATAAAGCAAAGTCGTCGAAATGCCAAATACGCTGCGAAAGCGGTTCAACATAACGGGGAACAATCACCTAGAACCAAGGACGAGCAGAAAGAACCACCAAAATGGCCAGTGTCCCTGCCAACTCAAACTCGAACGGCATCAATGCTCGATTCTCTTTTCGAGACATTGAAAGGTCAAACTGAATATTATGCTGACCCTGAACACTTGTGCCGGCACTGTCTCCCAGTCTACGGCGATGAGATTGTAGGCACAAGGCCTTCCTGCAGTACCGATCTTTCGCCTCCACCGAAAGATGATGATCTCATGGATGCAATCACAATGGTTCACCGCATTGGATGTCCAGTGGCACAACGTGCGATCAATCTGGCTTCAGCGTCGGCTATCTTGTCAAAGCACACTGTCGACAGCGTAAGTCTTCGCCGTATGGCGAACAAGCGCAATGGGCAGTCATCCAACAGTGCGCTCTTGAGTGATGACGTACCAGTGAAGCTGACATGGTCCGAATACGACAACGGCGAAGACGGGTGTGTTTTCATGACTGAAGTCGTCGTGGTTGCCGAAGATCGGAAGCTGCTCCTGGCAGACTGTTCTGAGGTTGTATCGGAAATGTCAGAGATTGTTCGAACTGGCAGCTCGTCGAGCCAGGAGCACGCGACTCTCGTGTTTTTGGTTCAAATCGAAGGACTGCATCAGTTGCAGCAGCTAATGGACGGCCTGCAGCAGATCCGATCCGTCATGTCTGTCGAACGCAGGGTAAGCTTGAATTCATGGAAAACTTATGGCAGTTCAAGCGCTCATCTAACTGATTGTCTGCGTCTCTCTTTTGCTCTTCACTGTCAGTTTGGCAGTGAGCTCCTCAACTAGATTTTGTTTATCCGTTGTTTGTCCATTTATTTCAGCTCGTTACAACCCAATTTTGATTCAACTGTCGGCAGCAGTCGGCGTTTACACGATGTGACACCATCACACTCAATTCGCTTCATTACGCAATACACCAGCCCTCCTATATGACTCCAACCAGCAAGCCAACACACCTTAAAAAGGGGGGTTTAGATATCTACGGAAGCCGGCGAGGCCCCCTGCATGAGCCTCCCTACTTGCAAATATCGCTCTACGCTTCTTCGCTACAAAAGCACTACGCCTTTCTACGAAATACTTTTCAACAGCACAATACAACGAAACTTCAAGCATACAGACAAACCACAAGCACGCTAACTAAACACTCGTTTACCGCGACTCAAAGAGTCTTCTTCTCGTTGCGTAGAAGGGAGGGAGGCACAGGGATACCGTTTATTCGGTAGACCAATTAATTATGGGACTTGACTTCCATCACTTGGGTGCCGACGATGCGTGTGACCGTACCGAGACTTCTAGCTAGCTGCGAGATTGCAACAGGAATGTCTTGCGATAGAAAATCGATGTAGTCCAATCTTGTGGCGCTGAAAGTCTACTATGAAGAAATTGCCGCCTTGAAGGCACAATTGCAAGAGGAACCTGCTGAGGAATTGGCTGCGCTCGAGGAGCGCACTCTGAAGGCGCAGACCGACATGAAGGACTTGAAGAGGAAGATCGACATAACCGAAAAGAGTGAAGCCATGAAAATCCAGCAGGAGTATGCTGCCGTGCGCAAGGTGCAGGACGAAAAGCAGGCAGAAGTTGAACCAACACAGATTCGGCTTGCCAAGAATTAGAAAAGAAGTGGAAAAGCTATGAAGTGAGAACAAGACACTGGAATCCGAGAAGGAAGAAAAGAAGGAACAAACCAAGACGGCCAAGGCTGGCAGCAAGAACTACAACGGGATGCGGCAAGATTTGGCTCGAATCGAAAGCGAGAACAAAGACATGGAGCGCGAACTGAAGAAAATAAGCTGCAGCATATGCAGGCAGAGAAGCAGCGACTCGATGCGCGAACTGGCCTCCTGAAGCTTTTCAATTTCATTCGTCCGGAGTGCAAGGACGAGGTTTAAGTGGATGAAGTCTTGACCCTTGGCCGCTCCCTGGTGGCACTAGTCGACGGTCTGCCCGAGAAATCTCTGCTTCGGTTGGCCCTACCCACTTGATGCTCTTATCCCATTTCTACTTTAGTAGAGCTGTAGCTAGTTTTAAAAACCAGTATGATTAGAACCATCCACAAGAGCATCGATACTGTCGTGATATAATCTGGATGATCTGCATGATTGAATCAGCAGGCGGAGCTTGTACAGTAAGGATCAAGGGACCACGGACCCAAGTTTTCGCTTGCTTTTGTTGTACGACGCTTTGGCTGATCTGTCAGGTGCGGTTGAAAAGGCTGCACCGTGCACTTAATTGTTGTAGTGGTGAACCAACACTATTGGACTCTGCAGTTCCTTCATTCTGACGCAAAGTCTTCACTTCTTAACCGGTCCTTGTTTCGGTAGAGCTCTATTTGAAATGCTGCACCCTCCAACAGGCCCTTCACTTGTTTGTCGGGTTGGTCCAGACAGTCCAGCCTCCCACCCATGCTTTCCACCAGTGCTCTAGCTAGTCCCAGTCCCAATCCAGTTCCCAATACCCAGGAACTGACAGATGAACTGCGGTAACCACGTTGAAAGACAGCCTCTGCCTCTTCTGGCAGAATCCCAGGCCCATTGTCTTCAACCAGGATTGTGACCCCTGGAGGATTATCATTTCCCTTGAGATGGACCCTGACTATGGGTTCCTCATTAGTATTGCTTCGTTCTGGATGATAGTCGTCGTCAATTGTTTTGGTAACAGCCACGTACTTGAAGGCATTGTCCACAATGTTGCTGAAAGCTTCCTTGAGTGATTTGGGCCGGACAAAGACACCCGGCAGTTCCTCCGCATCCTCGAGTCCCAGCACTTGAAAGGAGATTCCCCTCTCGGCCCCAATCACCTCGTAGGCGTTCAAGGTTGGACCCAAAACGTCCGCCACAAACCCAATTTCGAGACCGTCATTGCCCACAATGGAAGCTGATGATGCACTCTCCAAGTTGGTGGTGGTTGCGGGACGATTGTTGTTGTTGTTGTTTCTGCGAGAATCGCCACGTTCAAAATGAGTCACCTCGCCCATCATGTGCTTTTGCCGGGATGCCTTTTTTCGTCTTGTTCCACTTGGTTTTCTGCGAGAGAACTCCTCCACTGTGGAGTTTCGACTAATTCTCCTGTTGCTGCTAGAGAATTCCAGTGTCTGGTGATTGTTGCTCTTGGATCGTTTAGGAGGTGCATCCTGTGCAGCAGCATTAGAAGATGATTCTCCTCGACTTCGTGCAAACTCCAATGTATCAATCTCCCAGGGGATTGCGGGTGGCGTTGTCTCGGTTTGATTCCACAACACCAAGGCTGTATCTTCCTCTGGACGAGCCGGATTGAGATACAACAATGGCGTTTCCATCGACTCCACGATGAGATCCATGGGAGCCAACAAATTGACGACACGGTCACTCTGTTCCACCAAATTCGCCGTCAAATCGAGCAATTGTCGTATGGTTCCTACACCGTTGGTTGCTGCAATTTCATTTTGTTCCGCCACACGTTGCTGCAATAGTTTGCCAAAGGTCCGTAGGGCTTGCAAAGGATTCTTGACTTGGTGAAGGCTATTCGATAAAGCATCTTGGACTCGCTTGTTTTCCAGGGCCAAACTACTGCGTTCGGTATCCATGGAAAGTGCCATGGAGAGTGTTTGTGCCGCTCGTATAATTTGGGCTCGATCTTCTTCACTCCATACCTGTTTATTTTTCTTATTGGTTTTGCTGCTTTTGTTCTTGGTGGAAGAAGAAGTAGTAGTCGAAATAATGGCAGGAGACACCAACAGCACACCGACGGTTTGAGATCCCATAAACAAGGGCACCGACAAGGCGGGTGCTCCCGATTGGACATCGCACAGGACTTCTTCGGCGACTCCCACTCCTGCAATGTTGGAGGATACCATGGGATAGCGCGGCAATAAGGAATCGGGAGCGGCAAACCCCGGCAATTTGGTCAATAGCCGTGGCAATCGAGCAGCGACCCCGGAATCTGCTTCAGACGCAATAAAGACTCGTTCCGTGCTGGGATGGGGGTAAATGACAGCCGGCAAGAATTCCAACTGACCCGTGTTGGCATTTTCTTGGGGCAAGTAGAGTGCCATGGAACCAATTTTACTGCTCTTATTGTTGTCGGGTGTTGTTTGCAATACCAAGGAATTGGCCAGCAGTTCCAATTGGGACAAGGCCAATTGCTGGAACAGATCTGACGGCATGGCGGGAAGAGGACGACTGCCTTCCACTTTATTGTTCAGAGAAGAACAAAGTCTTGTATGATGACAGTTAGCATCATGGTGTCTTTCTGGAAAGAAACATCGGGAGGAATGAGGGCTCAGCAAGAAAGCTTTGGCATGGATGAAAAGGATCCCCAGAACAGTGGCGAGAAGGTATCCACTATTGAAACAGCATGGTACACTGTGCCTCCTCATTGCAATCCTCTCTACGGTATGGTCTTGGCTACACTGTACCGGTAACACTTGACTTGAGCTCGGGCTGCTCCAATGCATGCAATGGCTGTGTCGATGGAGCAGTCTTTGGTTCTCACTTCTTCTGCTTTCTTCCATTGGCTTCCATTTGGTTCGCGGCCTTGAAACCACGCTGTTGCTGTTCCACGGTCTGCCTCTGCCCATTAACTTTTTTGCCATGCATACTAAATAGTATCGTACTCGAGTAGCGAGCTACCGGTACTGGTACCAGGTACATACTAAAATAAGCTGTTGGCACCATGGTTTAAAATTAATTGAACCTCAAGAAACACAGCTCTGCAGCTGCTTCAGCTTCTTCTTCTAGTGGCAGCCGAGGCTTTCCATGCCCCTGCAGCTCCAATAATACCCCCGGTACAATCAGCAGCGGCCATGGGAAGCGAAGTCGTTTGTCGCAGGTATGGGTAGCTACGTAGTATGTAGTATGTCGTACCGTGCATGTCCCGTACCGAACTAGGTACCGGTAGACCCGTAAGGTACATTGATTGATTGGACGATACAAAACCTGTAACTACAAGTTTAAAATTGGAGAAAGCCAAGAGCTCTCAGCGGGTCAAGACGTCTTGGATGGGCTTGTGGCGCCTGCGTCCTTCTGGGTTGTTGCAGTGAGCATCTGCCTACGGTACACTCCCGGGGCAAAGGAGGCTCCTAGCTACAGTGCGGTACGGTAGGGACGAGGGGGGTCCTTTAGTATGACGGTTCAAAACAGCCTCCGCCAAGCCAATGTTTTTGCCGATAATCCAAACGTCTATCTCAAGTTCCTCGGCTACGTCGTCGAGCTCGTATGAAACATCTATTACATCCGCCAACGCCTGCTTCAAGGACTCGATCGTCGACTCATCTAATTTGCCCAAACACAAGCAACTACTTCCAGAGCTTCCACTGCCAATGCAACATCAGAACCACCAAAGAAATGATGCAATCGTATTGATGCTTCATACAAACTGCGCGACTCAGTCGTCGTCATTCTCCTCTTGGCGGGACAGGTTCAATCGACACTGGCATGCCTCTCATCTCATCTCATCTCATCTCATCTCATGTCATGCAGCGCGAACAAGGATGCCACCTTTGGAAGCACCGTGAGCGTGGGGCTTCAAACATGTAGTGTTAACCGCGAGGGCCCCTCAAAGTGCGTCGGCTACAAACCTAGGCCTGTTCGGGTATCGTTGACCACTCCCCGCTGTTTCGGTGTGCGCTGCCCCTGCATCATGGTCGAAGGTTGATAGCGAGATAGATGGGTTGTCGCTGTCTTCCAGTTTGTGCAAGACGGTGGCTTGTCCAGAAGGAAACGAAACAGCACCTCCACGGTGCATTATCAAGAAAAGTGAGGTTCCACCCAGCTGGGATCAGCGAGGTCGATGCCGGCAACAATGCCACATTCTTACTATTTGCTAGCCACGTTGTAGCAAAGGCAATCAATCAATCAGACGAACAGGTTCACTTCTTCAAACTGTCCTTTCCTTCCTTCCTTCCTTCCTACCGCATGCCCATGAAAGGAGAAATTTGTGCACATTTTCTGCTACCCACTATTGCATGTATGTAGACCGAATCGAATCGGATCGAATCGAGTCAGTCAAAGCATGTGCTGTCGCGCGTTGTATTCGGCAACAAGTTATCTCTTTCAGAGTCCAAGCTTTTTTGCTTTCTACACCGTTGAAGCCATACCGTTTGATGTTGTTGTTGTGGCACCACCACATTCTCGTTGCGAAACGACCGATTCTTTTGCAAAAACGACAAACGCATAGGATTGTGGCAACACTTTAATAATGATCCCACTATCCACATGAATAATTGTTCTTGGATGGAGGTGAAAGGTGCCTTGTTCATCCACAATGACTGTCTCTCCGTTGCATTGGACTTGATCGGCTTGTATGTGTGTGGCAGTGATATGATACTCGTCACGAGGGATCAAGTCACTGTTGTTGTCGTTGTCGTACCCTTTGAGAACAAAGTCAATTGTGGTACGATTGTCATAGTTGAGTAGCAAGAGCCCCAGTCGACGATGGTTGACATGACAGTGGGCGTAGACACGGACTCGACTGCTGCTGTCCTCCATGCCACTGTTATTGGCATTGGCATGATGCTCCTCCATTCGTCCAAGTGTCGTTACGTGTCGAGCTTGTGCCCCCATGATTTGTGCAAAGAGGTAGGCGGCAAAGTAGCTTGGATTGGGATAGTACATGTTGTTGTCACTGCCATGTGGCTTGGTGTTGATCAATTCGTAATTGCCTCCGACGAGTGCTTGTCGACAAAACATGTCGTGTCGATGCTGCGCCAGTACTCCCATGGCTTGCAAGTACCAGAACGAGTCGACGAATCGGTTGTTGACGGTATCGTGACCGGAATTGTAGGCTCCGCCCGTTTCTCCCATGACCAGCTTTTGCTTGGCGTTATGGGTGTGGTTGAAGAGTGCGGCTGCTTCTTTTTTGCCAAAGGAGTCGAGTACTTTGGGATTCAGAATGGTATTCATCAGGTGTGGATTGTTATAGCCCGGTCCTAGCGGGTACGAATGCCATGTAATGCCGGTCAGTATACTATGACTAGTATGGTTGGATGAACCAAGTGCGGCTAAAAAGTCTCGGATGAAGGTGTCACTCCAACCCCCCAAGTCGGGTCCATAGAGTTGAAACGATTTCTGAGGAAAGACTCGTTGCAGCAGCTCATGGAGTGCTTGAAAACCTCGTGCCTGTTCCTGAGGGGTAATGGTCCTGTTGGGTACATAATTGAGTTCGTTGCCAAATTCGAATCCTACAATGGATTGATAGAGACGATGATCTTGCTTCAGAAAGCGTAGAAATGCCTCGGCATTGGAACTGTCCCACGCAGGAACAGCTGCTGCTGATGATGATGATTGTCGTCCTGCCAGAGCACTGATTCCAAAAATGATGTTCGCCCCAGTCTGGTTGGCAAACGCGGCAATGTCACGCCATTTGCTCCGTGTCAAACAACCATGTTGAAAATGAGGGGATGGTGTCTCTGATGGTTCAAATGGAAGACAGGGAGTACTACTACTACTATCATCATCTTGATAGACCACAGTGTCTGCCTGCGTTCCACCAATGCGCAACGTCACACGGGGAATGGCACGGAGCAGATTCTGCAATCTTGGGTGGCTCAAGTCGGTTGTCAAGATGGATCCATTCTTCCAGGGACACACGCCGTAATCGCACTTGTTCCCGGGCCACCAATCCATCGTCACACACACATATCCGTCGTCACTCTCTCGTTCATGTGCGATTTCACCCACCGAAATTTCTACTACCACTTCAGCATCGGAGGAAGCTACTTGCTCATTATGTCTATTCGTATTCCAGAAAGTAGTGGCAGTCAACAACAACAAGAAGAACACCAAGAAGAAGAAGAACAGCAACCCTCCTCTGCCACAAGACATCATCGTCGCTCTTTTGAGCCATCAGGTTGCAATCCTCTTCCCGGAGCGTTCAGAGCGTTGCCAAAAGATCGGATCTATTCGAAACATCCAACTATTTAATCGAAATAAATTCGAAATGTTTTGACTTTATGTGCTTTTTTGATGCGCGGCTCAGCCTAGCTATTCTTCGGGCCCGCCACCTCTGCTTGCGTGGCTCTCGTGTCCCTGCTGGCACAATGAGCTACCGTCGCTCTCTCTGGGATGCCAATGGTGCACTTGCACTCTTCCGCTAATTTTGCTCCCTTGTCCTTCCTGGTTTTCCTCCATGCACCCCCCTTCCCTGCCCCCCCTTTTTTGCCCTGCTCGCGTCCTCATTGCTCTCCCCGTATGCCCACCACAACCGCCACCCACCACCGCAGCCACTGCTTTGCCTAGCCTCGCCCCCCTAGCATTTGATGGGAATCACCTACGGTACCGTACCGTACCATGCACCTCTGCTTTCCAATGGTCCTGCACTTTGTTTCTCTGATGACATGATGTCGATTGGTACTGGTATTGAGGAAGGTTCGACGGGTTCGATTGAATTGAACTATCCCATGAGCACGCCCGAAGCCTTCCCAATCATTTTGTCGTCGTTGGGACGTTCGTTCATGTAACTGTACTCTACGATCGTTGGCGGAAGGCTCTGCCGTTCTAGCTCGGTGGTACCGTACTACTCAAGGGTAGCCACCGTAGCAGCCGAACTGGGGAGGGATATCAAAGGAGAGATCGTGGCTGAGTCGAGTCGAGTCAGGCATCAGCTAAAGGCTACGATGTACAGTAGCTAGGATGATTCAAATGATTGAATCATTCAATCTTTTGCTGACGGCAACAGAGCTCGCGGGAAGAATCGAATGATCGAATCAATCAGTCGATTGAACGCTCAACAATCGTTCGAACGGACCTTTCTGGTGCTCGCTCAGTGCTCGGTTGATCAACGATGTCACCATGTGCTGCCTATCTTAGGCACAACGAGTTCTGTTTTGACGTATGTACGAGCAGCCGTGTCAGAGCATCTCGATGGATCCACGGCATGCAGCGCGTACAATCACAGCTGCACTGCCTCCCGTACCGGTACTACCAGGTACTAACTAAAGGCATCGAATATTAACACTCACTTGTTGGCCTCTTCCATTGTACACATACAGGATTGGAAGAGCGACTGCCGATTCCGAGGCGCCGGGAAGGAGCGATTGAACAAACGGGAGGTTGGTGGTCCTAGCTAGATCTATAGCCGATTTCGCTGACGGTATCGCTCGGCTTTTTTACTCGTCTGCTAGGCTTGGGAGACCAAGAACCTGAGCAATCCTCAGAACCTATGCATGTCTCGCAATAAACATTCATCTTGTCCCTCTACTCTAGTTTTTGCATTTCTCTCTTCCCACTGCAACCTCTCGGTGGTGAAACTTAGTCAACAACAGGGCACAGCGAGGACTCAAGAATACAGAACTCGAGTGAACTCAGGTTGCTCGGCACCGCAGCTACCACGGCGCAAACTCAACTACCTTGAAATGCAGGATGGCTGCTTGCTGCTTGGAGCATACGTATTTACAAACATGGTTAGTGTCTTGCTACGAGAGACAGGCAACCGTTCGGCCCTACCCTTCATGCTACCATGGCAGGCTAGACTACTTTCTGGACCTTGTGACTTTTAAAAATTGTTGGGCTTGCACTCTTATAGTTGCTCAGTTCTACTGCCGTACTCGTGCCGCTACCTATACGGTTGTACGGTACATGTATTAAAATACACGGACAAGGTAAAAGTCACTGGTACCGCCGAGATTTAACCGATTTATTCTAGCAACCTTTGAAGGACTTAGTAGGAAAATCCTCCGATGACTGCTTGCTTAGGTCACCCCGCACGAACACAAAAATGCCGGCATGCGGTGAAGCTCAACCATGGGAAAAAGAGGGGGCGATGGTGCACGGACGAGGAGGCGGATGGGAGGAATAACCAATCCAGTTTTAACTGGCTAGCTAGGTCCATCTTTGGCAGCTGCGGCCTTTTGACTATGCCCAGGTGTTGGCGACCAACGGCCAAATCAATTTCGTTTCCTTTGATCACATATTCCAAATTTAGTGATACAACAAAGGCAAAAAGCAAAAACAACAAAACACCTACTTTCCAGAACTGTCTCTGCCGTCTGCATTCCTTTCAAGCAACCAACTAACTACGCGTCGCACGCTACCAACACTACCAAAACTACCTACGCAAAAACTACCACACAGGCACATCAAATCACCAAGTTCATACTGCTATTCAGTCAAAGGCAACGAAACAACTCATGATGACAGTGATGAACAGCAACATCAAAGGAAAGGGTGGCCCCAGTAGCGACAAAAGACAAATGGCATTTGTCTTTGGTGCACTGAGCTTCCTCCTGGGCCTTTCTCCTGTGGCGGGCCACCTTCTTGGTGAAGCCACTGGCAATGGGCATCAGGCCCGATCCCTCCTCCAAGACAAGAAACTTGGTGGTGACTATGACTCTGATAACACAGAAGGGGAGGTTGTTCCAGCTAACCGTGCAGTATTCACTGCTGAAAGGTTCTCAGACATGGCGAATGGAATTTGTTCCCTCTTTGATGAAAGCGGCTTTGAGTTGGATACCATTGACTCTGTTACTCTAGCCTTTCACAACAACACGGCTTTTATCTTGGAGGTTGACAACTTTGAGCATGATTCTCTGATGGTATCCACCGATGAGAATGAGGATGACATGGCAACAAAGGACGAGCATTCTGCTTTGATGATGACTGTGGAATCCCTCACCTTGCACCTGAGGAATCCAGACTTCCACTCGGTAAGCACTTGGGGGGAGTGACTGTGTCTGTCTGGACACTGTCTATTTGGTATGCTTTTGCTTACTCATCTGCTGTTTGTACCACCTGTCCTGCTGCTTTTTCATGTGTGTACAGATCCAGCTTTTACGTCGTCACGATGACACTGGCAAAGAAAATTGTATGATGTCCTTGCACAAAGACGAGTCTACCTATCTCAACTTAAAGAAACATGCTGGCAACCGAAAGCTATCATTCTTTAATGACATTGGCAAAAGTTTTTCCAGTGCTGGAAGCAGTATTTCCAATGAACTCAAGAAGGCCGAACAGACAGCCAAGGAAGCGACAGCACAGGTAAAGAGCTTGCAGTCAACAGTCAACAAAGTGAACGGGGAATTGGGCAAAGCAAAGAACACGGTCAACAGCTTGAACAAGAAGATCACTTCTCTTGGTAGAGAGGTTGAGAAGCAAAAGGGCTTTGTCACCAAGTACAAGAACTATGCCACCAGTCTAAAGAAGGACATGACTAACCTTAACAACCAGGTTCAAAACCTTGGAAATGAGGTGAAAAATAAAGCAAACACAATTTCATCGCTGACCAAAGAGGTCCAGGCTAAGGGGAATCAAATCAAGAATTACTCAAAGAAGATCTCAAGTTTGGGTAACGAGGTGAAGAAGGGGGCCAATCAAGTTGCATCCCTTACAAAGAAATTGGAAGTTGAAAAGAACCTCCAAAAAGCTGCTGAAGGTAGCTACAACACCCTCAGAAAAAGTGTGAACTCTCTTGGGAATGACATTCAGAAAGCAATTGTTGATCCTATTACTTCAACGGTGGATGATGCTGAAAAAGCCCTGGACAACTTGGGTGATATCATCAAGAATCTACCCAGTGCCACCGTAAACGAGCTCAAAAAGCTGAACTTTCTTCCTGCAAGTGGGGAGATTCTGGCTGATGAATTGGGGTCTGCTATGTTGCACTTTGTGCAGCAAAACTTCTGTGTACCATATGAATGCATCGCTGACAAAGTAGGGTTGGACATTTCTGATATTGAGCTCTACAAGAGTGACATAGTCTCAATCAGCACCAGTGTGGAACCCACAACATGCCTGAGGATCAAGAGTGTCCAGTTTGACACCAGCAAACTGGGAAAATTGTTGAGTGACATTGGAGAACTTCTTGCTCCACATGCCATTTTTGCTGAAGTGCAAAAGTATCTAGAGGATCAGATGGAGCAGGCTGTTGAATTCAAGGATGATGTTTTTAGCTTTCTGGAAGATATCAAGGGTTTTGCTGACAACATTGTTGATGAAGTTGGAAAGATTGGAAGTCGCAGACAGCTGCTGATGGTGACAAATGAAGGAGAAGAGAAAGTTGCCACAGTGGAAGAAGTGTCAGCCATGGCATATCAAAAGGGACTTGCAAAATACCAAGAGCTGTATGGAGAGCAAGTTTCAAAGGTCTTCAAGGAGCGCAAACTAGCAGAAAATGCCATGCAATACATTGGATTTGAGTCTCTGGAATTGGAACTCTCTGCTAACCTTGAACAAACGTTCACCTTGGAAGCTGAAAAGAGAATGGGGTATTCTGGAAGTGTGTTTGACGAATCTATGCACCAGACATCGGTTGTCCCTATTCCTGGTACTGGTGGCTTGGCAAGAGTTATCCTTGGTGGGTCCATGGAAGCCTCAATGCCCTACGCCATGTCCATGGAAGCTGCTGCCAATGTTACTTTTGGGTACAATGTTGGCAAGACCACAATTGTTGTGGATGTGGTCAAGGGAACATTCACAAAGAACAAGGAGGCTTTCACCACAAGCCTTGATGTAGATGCCTCGGTTGGCATCTCTGCTACAATGGCACTAAAGTTTGCGGCTTCAGCAAGTGTGGGGTTCTGCCTAGGTTTTACTGATGATACCTGCATTTCCATTGCTATTGATGCAAGCCAATCTGCAGCTGCTGGATTTGATGCCTTGGCAACATTCAACCTGGGAACTGAGCAAGAAGAACTGACAACAATGTTCACTGATGTGATGGAATATGGGGAGGCACTTCAGCCACACTGTGAACAAGACATGTCTATTGCTGCTGGCTACTGGCAATATGTCATGAGTCCGTCAGTGAAAGTTGAACTCAGTGGGAACACCTACTGTGTTTCAGAAAGTGATGTCCTGTACAAACTCGAAGGGGAAAAAATATACGATGCAATTGATAGCTTCTGTCTATCTGCCAATCTCCCATTCTGAGTGTGATTTGCAATCACAAAACATCAACCAAGCACTTGCTGCCTCAGAAAATAGATCAACTTTAGAATAAACACATGTTATTAGACCAAAAGCAGCAAACATCAACCAAGCACTAGCAACTTTTAGTTAAAAACAGGCATTTGCTTCTTGTGTATGCTGTTTAGAATAGCTTGTGCATGCTCAAACCACAGAAACATGAATGGCGCAGCCACTATGCGGTGCCAAGGTAGAAAACAGAGACTTGCAACGGAACGCTCCTGTTAACCAATGGTGTTTGAAGCAGTTGTTCCCTTTTGGGCCTTGCATGCTGGTTCCTGCGACCAGCGCGCAAGGAGACGCGGATCCAAAAGCATTTTGGGCATGGACCAGGCACAATGACGAGCGGCCATATGATCTGTCAGATGTAACCCGCACCGTGTGGATCTCTGAAGCACACTACTCCAGAGGTACGAGATTGCATTGCTCCGCTGTGCTATGGTACCAATAGCTATAGATTCCGGTCTGGCTCGAACAAGAAACAGTTTGTAGGAGAAGTAGATTACAGTTAGTTCTATACACACGACAAAGGAGGCTGCTTCCAATCGCCCGACCGCCACAGCCTCTGCGACTTTCGCCAAGGACGATACGTTTCTTCCTAGCTGTTCACCACGCTACTTGCCAAGGCCCTGTTCACCCTTATCCATAGCAAGTATTTGCCATATTCCTCCGATTGTTCGTTCCTTCGTGTTTCCCATTAAATGTTCTAAGGAATGAACCTGGAAGTAGCTCGCTCGCTTCGCTTCACGCAATCATGTATCAACTCACAGATTGACCGTGGCCACGGTGCAGTCGTATGAGTTGAAGTCGTTCCAATCAAATCGCAATCGATCAATCTTTTCTCGAACCTTGTCAGGATCACTACCATACGTTCTTGCCAAGTGTTCGGGGAGTTGTTCGGCAATCAATGCCTGTCCGAGATTGAGTCCCGCCGTATTGTCGGTGCGGTAGTGTACACCGGCACACGTCCGAGCAAATGCCACGGCATAGTCGACTCGCAAGGCTTCACAGTATTGTTCGGGCGTCAGGTCCATGACGACCGCAAGCCAAAAGGATGCCGAACTAGCAGCGGAATGCATGGCGGGCCAGGATGGATGTCGCGGAGACCCTTCGGGGTACGCCGTAAAGGTTGCGGCCGTATTGAGGCCCATGCTATCCAAAATTTCGACAATGTCGTTGGGGACACCATCTTCCATTGCCGTCAATTCGCGATTAAAGATCAGATAGGCCACTTCTTCGGGACGGGGTCGACCGACGTACCACTTGAGGTAAAAGTTAAAGGGTGCCACGAGCCCAATGGACCAAGTGTTGAGGTCTGCCAGCGCCACAACGCTGCCCACAAAGTCGGATTGCGATCGAAAGGGCATAATGTCATAATCAAGTTGGGCTCCTTGAGACCACAGCCACTGAATCAGTTCGGTCTGCAGCAAGCCGGGGTATTCGTTGTGCACCGCTGCGGCCACGGCATGAATGTCTCGACCGACCCACAGATCGGGTGGTCGCAGCACGGTGAATGGGTTCATATCAAATCGTCGTCCCAACTGGAGCATGGAAACTTCGCGCATTTCATCCCAAAATCCATTCTGTTGATTCTCATTGGGCATATCAGGGAATCCTCCAATATCGTCGAGGTAGAGCATGACATTTTGTTGATGGGTCAAGTTGAGCGCGTGATCCCCGTCGCACAGTACCGATTCGGCGTTGGTAGTATTCTTGAGCGCCACGGCAATGTTGTCCCGAATGGGGTAATCCGCCGGCTGTAGAGGCATGAAATCGGCCATGACGCCATTGGTAAAGACAAACTTTTGAAACCGAACCCCCAAATCGCCAGCATTCAATTTCCGTTGCTCTTTGCTGCTTTTGCGTTGTTTTCTGCTGCTGTCATTGTTATCGGTTTTGGTTCTTCGTCGAAGGCCTCCCCCGTCTCCTCTCATTCTGTTCTCTTCTGCTTTCGCATCGTACTCATACTCTGCTGTATCATAGTATGTCAAACCAAAGGCTGCTTCGCATCCTCGACTGGCAAGAAGCAACAGAGTACCTACAAGGGGTGTGCGTTTCATTCTTAATTTGTTCAATGATGTATTATCTGAATCTCTTTCTTTAGAATTAGATATGGTTCAAGTCTGGGCTCTAGCTAGGATGATGGGTTTTGTCTCGTGTTGATGGCAATGGTATTGCTTGTCTTGCTTGTTTTCAATCAGGTCCAGGTGATGGCGAAGGACTATCACAAGAAAAATGAGGGCCGGCATAAATCTTGTTTCATGCCAAAATGTGAGCGATGGCAACTGAAATGGTTTCGGCGAGGGGCAAACGTTAAAGCGTCACCATGACGCCAGTACTTGAAGCGACTAAAATCTCAAAACAGCACACCGGCACAGAAGCTTTCTGAAGCTGTTTTCAATCAGCTCTACGGTTTTATAGATTGAGCCCTCAAAGTCAACTCGGACTTGTTCTTGAAACCAGGTGGCGACGGCAGCTTCATCGGCACTGGAATCATTGGGGTTGGGTGGAGTGGTGGCGTGGCGATCCTGGGTAGTGATGTCCACACTGGCATTGCATCCTTCTGGATTGGAACGTGGTGGCTGTGCTGGTGGCAGTGGTGGAGCTTCATGGGGTGGTTGTTGTGCTTGTTCGGAGGAAGAACCCAGAGCTTCTGTCAGATCAAAATGATAACACACGTTCCGAGAGCCCATAGCGTTCCCAGTCACTCAGCAACAGAGTGGTTGTCACTGCGTCCCCCATCTTAGCTTGATAATAATTGTAGAAGCAGCATCGTTGGCTTCACTTACTTTGTCAAGGAGTATTATTCCAACGGGTTAGGCAAAGATCTCACTGTCACCGAAATGGACAAACGAAAGATTTAGAGAGCTTTCTTGCTTTTAGATTCAACCATGAAATGAAAGATTCTGATTCGCCAAGATCACAGCTCTGCAAGCTGAAAGAAAGATTCACCTGGCTCCGAAAGAATTGTCACTCTCAGCACCAAGTCAGCACAATGACACAATCTTGACTTCTGTTGTCAAAGTAACCAGCAGCCTCGGAGTCGATTATTGTACATTATCGATAGAGCATAAATTGGTTGGAGATCTATCTGTTCTTAGTTTGATTGCGAAGGCACATCTCTGTTTATCTACAGCAGGTCATCAATTAGTTTTGTAACCATGGTCCTCTCGAACAATGCTACCCGTCTGCTTCTACAGAAAGCAACCAAGATTTTTCCTCTTGTTTACGGGCATAGAACGCACATCGGTTCAGAGGGGACATTAAGCGCCAGCCGTGCCCAGCGAGGGGCGCCATAGATTAAAAACTTCATGGCTAATATATTTTATATACTACGTCATGTTTAGAAAAGCTTCGCACAAGAGGTTGCCACCATGACGCAGCTCCGTTCAATTACAATTGCTGCCATTCAATACGGCCAATATCTACTAGCTAGTAGTATTGGTATCACTGCTACGAGCAAGGTGCTTCAAGGACGCTTCTGCCGCCCCGTAATCTGCGAAAAGCCCTGGTATTCTTCAGCGGAGGACGAGGAGTCCGAGCTATCCTCCAGCAACCGATGGCTTTTACGATTGTGACGACAGCGTGGCCTCTCCAAAGGAGCAATGTCCTCTTCAGATGACTCATCAGAAGATCTGCTATGGGCCATTCCGCAGCCATTCCGCTGACCCGAGGGAACCGGGGCACGCCTCCGCTGATTCTGGTTTGGTTGCGGAATTTGCCGCGATGGGGGGCGAACGGCAGCACCTGCTGGGGGGCGATCGGCAGCACGGAGACGAAACTGAGAGCCACCACCGCTAAACACGACGTGGAGAGTATGGTTGCCATGGAGAGTTTTGAACCTGAGGTCCCCATTTGAGGAAGATTCCATTGTTGCATCGATTTCTTCCAGGCGAATTGGCAGGTTGTTTGGGATGACTGTGTTGCCTTGAAGGCAAACAAACATGTCGACATCGCTTTGGCGTTGATGGCATCGCTCGATTCCGTGCTTGATTCCTCGGGCGATCTTGCTGATGGTATCTACATTGGCTGGGGCCGCATCGTCGGGGTGTTTTGTGAAGAAGGCTATTTTCACTTGATCGTTGCAAAGCGAAGACATTGTTGTGGTTTCTTATATACACTGGGAATGAAAAACTCTGCAGAAACGCCCTTTTTGAGTCCGCAGAAACACTTTTTTTCCTGAAGCAGGCTGGCGTGCACTCTGCAGAAGCCCTCGAACTCTGCAGTTCCGAAAGCCGGCATGGCTTTTTCTGCCGGGAGGTGTTTTTTTCTGCCGAGGTGTTTTTTTTCTGCCATGAGGTGCTTTTTTTCTGCCAAAAGCAACTGAAAACTTCACAGAATGGCTCGCATAGTCGATTCATTGTTTTGCAGAATGATTTTCTGGAGCAATTAACGTTTGCAGCTTGAAATTAATTAGAGATGGATAACAGGCAGGGTGACGAAACTAGCAGCAAATAAATAGCCAGTTCTTTTTTAAATCTCAAGGCTGCGATACATCATTACATTTAATGCCACGGCAAACTTTGGACCTAAGCCCTAACGTCTCTCCTGCAAACGAGAACCCCATTACTCTTCTCATTAACCCCGATACTCTAAAACGAGACCCCTTATGATGTCGAGGAAACATTAACCCACCTCTCAATCAATCGAATTTCGAACCTTAATCGATATAGATCGACTCAGTCCCACCAACACCAGATTTTCAAAGCCGAGTCAAGTGATGAAGTGACCCTGTTGACTTTTCTGAGATATATCTGTCAGGTTAACTCACCACAAGGAACTGGGAAATGAAATACTGCCCAAGAGAGTCGTGTTTTCATTCACACATCTATAAACCCGTTGGAAAAAGAGTAGCCAGTTTAGGGGGTTGGGGGAAAAAATAGAGGATTCTACGGGAATTTTACTAATATTTGTGGAAAGAATTCGTAGTTGGGTAATATTTTAGGAGAAATAGTGTGGGTAAATTCCTGGTTTTCTAGGCTTTGGGGTAAATGGAGATGGCCCTGGGGGATGTGAAAAAACAGAGGGGTTCTATGTTCACAAATAAAATGAAGTTTTTTGAAGGGGGGGGGGGGGCATTGTATATCAGCACTGGAAAGAGCTCGAACGTGCTTTCGAATCCAAAGGACGCCACTTTGTTTTCGAAAGGTCGACTATGCCTCCGGCTTCAAGGTCGGCCACATTTGTGTGTCATCAAAGAGTCAGTTCAACTGGGAAACATGAAAATTTCCAAATCTCTTCATGCTGCATCACCCTCTTTAAATGGTCTCTTTTCACAACCTAAGAGAGATTTAATTACATCGATGCTACCCCTCCCTGATCATACTGCAACATCTTCTACCACGCAATCTTTGGTCTTTCTTGTTGGGACGCTTTCTGACCTCCCTGAGTTTCTCTGATATGTATCCAAGGGGGATTTTGAGTTGAGGTCCTCTGTAGTGTGACGTGCTGTTGTAAGCTCCTGAGGGAATTCAATGCAGACGTGATCATCATCTTGTCGGTAGTACCAAAGATAACAAACTGCCCTTTCAAACCGAAACTCGTCTTAATTCTACATCTGAGCAACCTGACAAATCCTCCTCCATCGCTCCTGCTGCGCCCTGGATATGAACCTGTAGCAAAGAACATAAGGAGGGGACGAGATTAGACTCACTGCTCTTTTTTCTGCTGACTGTGTCATTACTCTCCACCTGGGTTCTCGTTTTTCTGTAGAAGGTGAAGCAGCATAGCAACATATAAGATGTCTTAGCTACATACTCATCTTATCATGCTGAACAGTATCCATTTTTGCTTACTTTGATTTCTTGGTACTATTTTTTGCTCGGGTTATCATGAACTGAGCCTTTTCTGGAATAGTCAAAGCGTAGAGAGAGATGCTTATGTTATGTTAGGCACAAAACAAAGAGGTTAATATTATTTTCGGTAATGAGTAAAGATAAACGAAGACTCACTATTCTTGGTCTTTGTTTGCCATTTGCTCTTCTCTGTCTGTTTCTCCTCCTCTACTCCTGTGTAATGTAAACTGTGTTTGTTTAGAGGTGATTCATATGGGGGTCGAGAGCAACATAAATG